CATTCGCGGGACACAGAAATGGTTTATTACCTCTTGATGATAATGTGTATAGTGTTCTCAACTGGACTACTCTGAGGTACATTTTATGTTGGGTAAATTCTCTCTACAAGCTAAGTGATGTATACTGATTGAATGTGTAAGTAATAATAATAATGGGGACCAGCAGTTAGCATAATGGCTATTTCGCTGGACTCCCATGTTGCCAACTGCGGTTCGAGTCCCGGACCAGGTGGCTTAAACTCACGCTGGGCGCGTGTGCGTGCGTGCCCAAGATCCCAAGAGGAGAATGGAGAAGGGATCGCAGTGTGGCCATACCCCCTAGGGGGTGATTTCTCACTTTCTGTCTCTCTGTCTCTTTGTCTTTCTAGCTAGTGCACACGACCTATAGCAAAAAACTCTCCAATAATAATAATAATAATAAATCTAAAACCAAAATATTTTACAGATACAATAACTTGCTGCCATGATCGCTCAGAAATCCACCATTAATCGGGAAGCAGACTTGATGAAAAATCTCAGTTGTGGAAAACAGACAGTAATGGTAGTGGGGACAGAGCCACTCAGCTTTTCTTCCTTCCTCTGTTCCCGTGAAGAACTGCCTTTTGTCCTTTGAACTCTGAACTCCCCAAAGGCAGTGCTAATCCCACAGTGGTGTAGCCATGCTGTAGTGGTTTTTTTGCTGCATTACCCTTTCCCATCAGGATTTGGGGCACACACACACACACGCTTGGTGCACTTTTCAAGCCACAGCGGCATTTGAACCATGGTTGGTTGTGTGGGATCCTGTCCCCGGTGCACAGAGATTAACCACTTCACTTTAGGGCCTGCCCGGGACATTTGCATTTGTACTTTCTTCTTCTTTTTCTTTTTTAAATTTATTTTTTATTATTATTATCTATTTTTGGGGTTTTACATAGAGCACATGCATTCACCAAAGAGAAACAGAGAGGGAATGTGAGAAATCACCCTCCCGGGGGGGGTGGTTACACCATAATACAACCTTTCAGGATTCTGGGCTCACACACATGCGTGATGTGATTGTCAAGCCTTTGAGTCTAGAACCTGAACCACAAAGCTTGCCACGTGGGATCCAGCATCTTAACCACCACACCACCCGCTGGCCCCGTATTGGCATTTTCTAAGGGATGAAGAAGAAAATGTCCTCAAGTGGCTTCTCAGCTTTCTATTTTCATCCAACATAGTTTATTCTCTGTTATTCAGTTCCTGAATCAAAGTTCTACTTGGGAAACACACACACACATACACACATACACACCAGTTGTCCCAAGTAGATGGTAAGAACATTGAAAGAATATTGGACCAGAACATTTTACGTGGGGATCTAAAATAAAGCCACCCCCCTAAGTGCCTTATTCCTGATTTGCAAACACATTAGTCAACTTTAGCTACATAAAAGCTATCTTGTAGTCAGATCACAACTACCAAAAACATCTTTTAGAAACAGGATTCAGATCTCCTCATATTCACTTTATCATTTTAGTTTGAGAAATATTTTTCCTTTCTTCATTAAAGCTCTTTATTTTCCCTAACCTCAAATTCTTAACCCTATTGACTTCTGTAACCCTTTTCAGGGTCGAGCAAAGCAGTTATACAGTGCCGGTTACAAAAGCCTAACACACTTAGCTAATGCCAGTCCCGAAGTGCTGATAAGGACAATTGATCATTTATCAAGACGTCAGGCCAAGCAGATTGTTTCATCAGCGAAGGTAAGCAAATAAATCTTTTTTTTTTTTAGTATTTGCATTTAATCACTGTTTATCTTTGCAGCATACAAAATGGTGCTTCCTGGTACAAATTCTGTGCATGTCAGTCAGATCAACAAATGAACCATTTTTTAACTTTTATCATATTTTATAGTGTTATCTCCTTACAACTGAATTTTTCCCTTTATTCATAATACAGTACGTTTATGTACACATGAGAGAATGAAAGGAAGCACCCTGAGTTGGGGCCTAGTCACACCATTACACCTCTTCCTTCAGTTCTCCATCCCATCATGATCCTGGCCATGCATGTGCATGCCCAGTGTATGGCCACACTGAAATTCAAACCCCAGTCGGCCATGTGGGATCTCCCTCTGTACAGCACCTGACCTGTGTGCTATGGGAGCAGCTCTGTCTGCTTATACTTCAGACATTAGGATAAGAACATTTAATATCACATAATAGTTTATTTCTATGGACACAAAAGTCTGTACCCAAAAAGTTGTGCATCTCTTATGGCACACAGCTTGTTCTTTTTAATTGCCAGAAAGTATGTGTACTCCCCAGAGACAGAGACACGGGGGGGGGGGGGGGAGAAAGCATCCCCCAATAGGGTATGGTCACTCTACAATCCCTCCTCCTCCATTTCTCCCTCCTGATGGGATTTGGGACACACAAACACATGTGCCAAGTGTGGGGCCACCAGGCCAGAATTCCAGCTGGAGAGATTTTTGCTACATGGTGCATGCATTCACTAGAGACAGAGAGATAGTGAGAAATCACTGCCACCTCCACGGGAGATGGCCAAGCTGCAATCTCTTTTTCTCCATTCTCCTCTCAGGATTTTGAGCATACGCTCACATGCACCTGGTGTGAGTTTCAAGCCACTGGATCTGGGACTCAAGCCTGCAGTCGGTCATGTGAATCCAGCACCACAACCACTACACCACCTTCTGTCCTGGGATCCAGCTCTCTTAACTGCTAAGTTAAGGGGCCAGCCTGACACAAGCCTTCTTTAGTAGAGAAAAAGAGCCTCCTAAAAAAAAAAAAAAAAAAAAAAAGACAGTTTCAAAGGTTTGCTGAAGAACGGGGGCCCCTGGGAGTCATAGAACTCTGCCTCCCCACACCCTCAGCATCCCGGACATCTGGTCTTCCCACCTCTGAACACACTCATTGACAAGTAGCTTACTACCTCAAAATTAGGTTGTTCTGTTTTTAGAAGCCCTTGGTGTTACAGAAAATCATCCCAATAGAATGAGGCTCAATTTTGCCTTGTTTAGATTTCTACCATCATATCATTGTACTACCCTCTGGAACTCGTCTATTCATTCATTCACATAGTGGCTTTTCACGTCTTTGAAACAGGTCTTCTTCCCCCAAGGATTTCTCCCTACTGTTCCTTTCATCTGTATGAAATAATCTAGTTGTAGGCCTTTTACTGTCCTAGTTACTCTTGTCACATCAGATTAGGAGTTGTTGGTGTTGGTGGAGGTGAAGTTAGAGTCATTGCTGACGCACCTAGTGTTCAGCCTATGGTACATGTTTTAAAAATATTAGAAAAAGTAAACAAATGAGACTTTAAAAAATTAAGAGCTTTAGCCAGGGAAACAATCAGTAAGTGGTAGAAGCAATACTGAGAAGCTAGACTGTATATTATTAAGGATATAAATGCAGCTTTGTTAACAATGACCAAAACAAGTGACTTTAACTCGGAAAATGTTATTGGACAAGTTCCAGCATAAGCAGTTCTTAGCCAATACAGGAATCATTGGTGTGTTCACAGACCCGTATTTCGGTCTTATTACTCAATCATTTTTAATACAGGGCTTTTGTCTTAGGGACTAAGATACACGTCGCTGTTCTTACCATCTCGCCCACTTTCCAGTCAACTCAAAAGAGTAAAATGGACATTTTATGTAAGAGTTTGAGTAAAGGAGTGGGTGAAAAATTGCAAATAAGGTAGCAAGGCTGGAAATAAGGAAGCCTGGGCTGGCCTTGTGGCCTGGTGTGTAAGGGGCCACAACCATCTCACATGGTTGACTATGGTTCACATCCGGCCCTAGAGGCTTGAAAAACACAGCAGGTGCATGTGCATGCATTCCCCAAATCCAGACAGAATTGAGAAATGTTTGCAACATTAACATGCTGCATTGGGGGGTTCTCTGTCTCTCTCTCTTTCCTGTGCCCTCGAGCGTTCTCCTCTGTCAGAGCAGCAAAGTATGATGTCCCTAATGGATGGCTTGGGGTGGGGGGCAGTGCAAGCAGATTTTGCATTTTTGGACTTTTTAAAATCTCCTTTTATCTTACAGGATCCTTACTTTTTTTTTTTTTTTTTCCTTGATTTATGGTAGAGCTCATGAGTACACACATATAAGATGTGGGGAGAGAGAGAGGAGTACCCTCACAGGGTCTGGTCCTGCTGTGTTCACCTTCCTCCAGTCCCCCAGCCCATCAGACCTCTGTCTCTCATGTACGTGCCCAGTGCTTCGGGGTAACTGGGCAGGTATCTGAATGTAGTTGCCATGTGGGAGCCAGCTGCTCTGGAACAGTGCGTTACTGCTGTGCCACAGGGCAGGCCAGAGCCGAAATTTTCCCCTTTAGTTTCTTCGCCCCTCACTGCTCAGCTTCCCAAGGGTGCCTCTCCCTTTTTAGCCGTTCTTCCCCTAAAATCTTTTGCATCGTCTTTCCAAGACTCCCTCCTAGAATGTCCCACACATATTTTAAATGCCTTCCCATAAACATTGCTTCATTTAGCCCTTCCTCTCTCTGGAGGTGATTTTTACTTCATCTCAGATCTTCTGTTCGTTCCCTTCTTATCTTGCACCATGTAGTTTTTCTGAACCCCACAGTGATCTGTGCAGATGCTTTAAGTGAGAGCTCAAGAAATGACTGTTCTGGAAATTGGTGGAATTTTTAAAACCACAAGTAATTTAAGTTGATGATTCTGTATTCTAGTAATGCTGACACATGGGTATCGTGTAGTTTACTTGTTGATCTTTGTAGGGTTTTATTTTGTTTTGGTTTTGAGAGATTTTTGCCATAGGGTATGTGTACTTGCCAGAAAGACGGAAAGCAAGAAATCAGTCCCCACAGCAAGGATGACCACACTGCAATCCCTTCTCCTCCACTCTCCTCTCAGGATTGTGGGCATGCATGCACACACACCTGGCATGAGTTTCAAGCCACCAGATCTGGGACTTGAACTACAGTGGGCCGTGTGGGAGTCCAGCACCTTAACCACTACACCACCTGCTGGCCCCTATGTGTGTAATTTTTAGAAGACGTTTTGAGAGACTTTGTTTTACGTCACCATTATCTCACCTACTAGAAAACTCACCTAATTATATTTTAATCTCCCTTAAATAATGCTATATAATGATTGGTAGGTAGTGTTTTTATTTTTTTCATTTTGTTTCATGAAATTTTCACTGAACTTTTATTTATTTTATTTATTTTTTAATTGCCAGAGAGCACATGTACTCACTGGAAAGAGAGAGCGAAAAAGAGAGTGTTTTCCAATGGGCGTAGCCATGCCACAGTCCTTTTCCATCACCTTTCCTTCCCATCAGGATTTTGGACACGCATGCACATGTACCCAGTTTGTTTTTCAACCTGCTGGGCCAGGATTTTTTCTTTTTCTTTGAGAGGTTTTTCCTATAGGGTGCATGCACTCGCCAGAAAGAGAGAAAGAGACATAGAAAGCGAGAAATCAGCCCCCCAGGGGGGATGGCCATGCCACAATCCCTTCTCCAGTCTCCTCTCGGGATCTTGGGCACACACACACACACCCGGAGTGACTTTAAGCCACTGGGTCCAGGACTCAGACCGCAGTCGACTACATGGGAGTTCAGCAACATAGCCATTACGCCAACTGCTGGTCCCATGGGGGCCAAGATTTGAACCACAGTTGACCCGATAGGATCCAGCTCCTGATGCACAGTACTATGAGGCCAGCCTGCTAAATTTTTTATTATAGAAATTTTATAACAGAAGTAGTTCAAATACTTCACGCCTAGATACACAAAACCCAGCTGCAACAAATGCCAACATTTTATTTTATTTTTTCCAGAGGATATGTGCACTCTCTGGAGAGAGACAGAGAAAAAGAGAAAGCAAGAAAGCCACCCCCATGGGATATGATCACACTACAATCCCTCCTCTTCTATTTCTCCCTCCGTTCAGGATTTTGGTCACACATGCACACACACTTGGGTTGTTTCTCAAGCCACCAGGTCTGGAACTTGAACCATGTGGTTGACTGTGTGGAATCCAGCTGCCTTAACCACCAGGCCACAGGCTAACCCCCAACATTTTATTTCTGATTTTTAGAAGAAAGGGGGAAAAGCATTATTCAGCAAATAATTATTGGCATCAATTTTTTTTTTTTTTACTATTAGATGTGGGTATACCAGAAAGAGACAAAAAGAAAGGGAGGAAAGGAAAAGAAAAGTGAGAAAGATGCTGCCCATGGGAATGGCCATGCTGCAATCCCTTCTCCTCCATTTGTGCCTCCTTTGGGGATTGGAGGCACCTACATGCACACACACTCAGCCTGTTTTCAAGCCACTGGGATCAGAACTCAGAACTACACAGTCGGCCATGTGGGATTCAGTAGCCTTAATCACCACGCCACTAGCTGGCTCATTCTTGGTGTCTTCTAAGTGCCATGTTTAGGATTTTTTTTTTTCTCATTATGTTGCTTTTGAAATTAATTGTGCTAACTTTATTGATTTTTGTATTTGCCAGAGGACACAAGTGTTTGCTAGCGAGAAGCAGAAACAGAGAGAAAGGTAGAAAGTACCGCCCCTCTACTCTACCCCACTCCCGCCCACGAGGCAGAGTCATGCTGCAGCCCTCTCTTTCATTTCTCCATCCCGTCGGAATCTGGGGCATGCATCCACACATATGCCTGTTGTAGTTTTCAAGCCACCAGGTCCGGGACCCGGCCTGCACAATCACGTGGGATGTGTTTCTCTTAATCACAAGGCCGTGGGGCTGGCTCAATCATATTAACTTCAGGAGCTTGATTAAAATTTCTTTGAAATACTAATAGACTTTTTAAAAGCATACTAAATTTTGAAGAATAATAAAATGTATTATATGAAACCATATTTTCAGGAGCTAATTAAATTTTTGCAGAATTGTCTTAGATTTTATAGATTAGAAATTAATTTTTAAATGGCTGTATCTTCAATAAAACAAATCTTTGTGAGTATTAAAGCTCCTTTATTTTTGGTATGCTAAATGCAGTGATCAGCTAAAATGGTTTTAACTAAATGCTCAGCTTCATTTGCTATAATCACTTGTTCTTAAGTGGCCATTTTTCTTTTCCTTTTTTTTTTTTTTTTGAGATTTTTGCTATTAAGGCGTGTACACTTGCCAGAGAGACAAAGAGAAACAGCAAGACAGAAAGCAAAAAAATCACAGCCCCCTGGGAAGATGGCCATGCCACAGTTCCTTCTCTTCCATTCTCCTCTCAGGATTTTGGGCACACATGCACACACACTCAGCATGAGTTTCATGCCACCAGGTCTGAGACTCGAACAGCAGTCAACCACATGGGAGCCCAATGCTTTACACTCTATGCCACCTGCTGGCCCCATATGGCCATTTTTGAATCTCATTATTTTAGGTTTTTTTTTGTTGTTGTTGTTGTTGTTTTGTGGGGGAGAGGTTTTTTGCTATAGGGCACGTGCGCTCGCCAGACAGACAGAGAGAGAGAAAGCGAGAAATCACCCCCCAGAGGGGATGGCCACGCTGTAATCCCTTCTCCTCCATTCTCCTCTCAGGATCTTGGGTACGCATGCACACACACCTGGCGTGAGTTTTAAGCCACCAGGTTCGGGACGTGAACCGCAGTCGACTACGTGGGAGTCCAGCGACATAGCCATTACGCTAACTGCTGGTCCCTCATTATTTTAAATGTCTAGATTACAAATGTGTAAGAACTCAGGTGTATATTAGATACTGGTAAAAAAAAAATTGATGGTTCTCTAATAGTGAATATTTTGGCCTCATCTCTTGATTTTTTTCTTTTTTTATTGTAGATGCTCTTGCAGGAAAAAGCAGAGGCTCTGCAGGAAGAAGTAGATGAATTACTGAGACTGCCTTCTGATTTCCCTGGTGTCGCGGCCTCTTCCCTTGAAAAGGCGTGAAGCAACATGATGAGCATTTTCCAGTATGAATTATTTATTATACATATGTTTTATTAAAGAGTCCCTATATTTTATAAATGAAAAAAATACATTTTAACTATACATTAAGGACTGTGACTGATGTTTGACTGTACCTCTCCCCCATAACTGTAGTAACTGCCCTCTAAGGCTCCCTCTTCCATACTTCCACATTATTTCTCTGCTCAGAATCTGTAGTACCCACCACACAAGGAAACCCAACTCTCTCAAATATCCTCAACCTACCTTTGTACCAAGATCTTTTATTATTCTCTTACCCATTTCTTTCATCAAGCCGGACTTCTTAGAATCTCCAGAAATTTCCCAGTAATTTGCAGACCTTACCACCATTCACTGTACAAAGTAGGAACCCCAGTGAATAAAGAATACTACCGAAACTAACAATTTGAAGAGTCTCTCCAAACACAACTTAAATATTAGCTCTCTTCCTCCCCTTTTAGAATTAGCTCAAATGTAGATGACCCTAACTTAAGAAAAATGGTGATAACTAGCATTATTTATGAGGGCTGAACTCATTTGGTAATCATCTACTCACTTTAAGAGACATCCATGGGGAGAGGAGCAGCTGGTGGCATAGTGGTTAAGGCACTGGACTCCCACATGGCCAACCATGGTTCTAGTCCTACACCCAGTAGCTTGAAACTCACACTGGGCACATGTATATGTGTGCCCAAAATCCCAAGAGGAAAATAGAGAAGAAGGGATTGCAGTATAGCCGTCCCCTTGAAAGTGATTTCTCATTTTCTCTCTGTGTCTCAAGCAAGTACATTTGCCCTATAGCAAGAGTCTCTTAAAAAAAAAAAAAAGACATTTATCAGAAACTTTGCAAATAAATCTGCAGTCTAAATTCTTTGAGCTTTAACATTTTAGGCCATTATAATATGGTCATTTCTTAGTACTTTCTATGTGTCAGAGACACTTTCATAATTGCTTTATGTGAAATCACTAATTTGTATAGTGCACTGTCAGACAGTACTGTACTTATCCTCATCCTACAGATGAGTAACCTGAGACACAGAGAAGTGAAAATAACTTGCCCCAAGGTTACGTACAAGTTAGTTGCAGAGCAGAGATTCAGACCCATGCAGTCCCAATCTAAAGTCCATACATTTAACTATGGTATAGTATTGTCCTGGTAAATGTACCCAGTCATCTCTTCCTAAATGTTCTTTTCACTGGCCTTGATTTTTATCCCTAGTGTTAATGGCCCATTGTTCATGTGCCACCCCACCCCATGTCTGTTGATGGACGTCTACGTAGGCATCCTCATGTCATAGCAGCCTTGGGCTTCAATGTTCATGTTCCATGTGTGCTGGTTTAACAGTTTTAACTCGAACGTGTACCTGATGTCTGATACCTTATGTGGTAGCACAATCAAATGGGTGTGATATCTGATGTAGAAGAGTGGCCCTCTCAAAGGCATTCACCTCCTAATTCCTGAAACCTCCAAGCAAGTTGTATTATATGGCATGGGGGCATTAGAGGTGCAAATAGAATTGAGGTTGCTAATCTGCTGCCTTTGAATTGGGGAGATTATCCTGGGTTATCTGGGTGGGCCTAATGTAATCACAAAGGTATGTATGTATGTATTTATTTATTAGAGGTTTTTGCTATAGGGCATATGCACTTGCCAGAAAGACAGAGAGAGACAGAGAAAAAGCAAGAAATCATCCCCCTAGGGGGGATGGTCTCACTGCAATCCCTTCTCCTCCATTCTCCTCTCAGGATTTTGGGCATGCATGCATACACGCCCGGCGTGAGTTTAAGCCACCGGCTCTGGGTCTCAAACCATGGTCATCTACATGGGAGTCCAGCAACATAGCTATTACGCCAACTGCTGGTCCTTCACAAAGGTCTTTATAAGCAAAAGGGGGAGACAGAAGAATCAGAGTCAGAGCGATATGTGAGAAAAACAACCAGCCATTACTGACTTTGAAGACAGAAGGAAACCTCAAACTAAGGACTTCAGGCAGTCTCTAGAAGCCAGAAAAGTCAAGGAAAAGTATTGTCCCCTAGACCTCCAGGAAGGAACATAGCCGACACCTGCTCTTAGCCTAGTGAGACCTTTTGCAGACTTTGGAACTATCAGATATTTAAATTCGTGTGGTTTTAAGCCACTACATTTGTGTTAACTTGTTACAGCAGTAACAAAAGTAATATACCTGAAAATAGTTCCCTGGCACCCAACACAACTGGAAAACCACCACGTCTGGAGGATCCCTTCTGGATCCTTCCCATGAACAATCTAAGTTAAATATTTTATGCCCGTGAAAGAATTATTTTGTGTTCCTGAAACAATCCTTATAGAAGTTAACTGTTTTGGATACTTCTCATTTTTATTAATTACACTTTTCTCCAATAAAAAGATTTCTTTTTACTTATCCTTTTAAAAACAACTTAAATAAAATGAAAAGGCTGTCCTATCACTAGACCAGAACCTGAGAGTACATCTACTAGATGGTCGGGAAAGTCATGACATCTTTTTCTATGCAAAAATGCGTCCTGACTTCCTGACGACCCCAGGTTAGAAGATGTCAGGCTCAGAGGACCTTGCTAAAGGCAATCACCAGAAGCATTTACAAAGAGAGATGAACTATGTTCTTGGAAAAGCAAATGGAAGACTTGAACTTCTTGTTGAGTAAGAACCCATACCCATGCCACAGCCTTCAGAAAGAAACAACCTCAAAATGGATTTATACCCAACATTACTCCAGGTTTGGTTCAAGAAACACAGAGCAAAACTCAAAAAAGCAAAACTCAAGCATAGTCAGCAAAACCAAGAAGCTCATCAGCTAGTTCCCCAAAGATGGCATCAAAACCAGCACTTCCCAGAGAGGCATGGATATGGCACTGGATCCCTGGATGATGCCTGTCTGCTGCCCCTGGTTTATACCGATTGTCAGACACCTTCAGTCCAACTCAGTTTATGCCTCAGTTCCAAGGTCCCCACAGGACATTCTGTGGACCATAAAGTAGTCCATTTCGGCTATTGCCAAGATCCTAACATAAACTGCCTCTATCCCATCTTGGAATCCCAAGTTTGTTCCCAAAAGCCTCATCTCTAATTCTTGGCTTGCTTGCTTTCTTTTTTTCTAAGAGATATTTTTGCTATAGGGTGCTTGCTCTTGCCAGAGAGACAGAAAGCGAGAAATCATCCCCCGGAGGGTATGGCCATGCCACTATCCCTTCTCCATCTCCACTTGGGATTCTGGGCAGTCACGCACACATGCCCGGTGTCAGTTTTAAGCCATTGGGTCCAGGCCTCGAACTACAATAGACTACGTGGGAGTCCGGCGACATAACTGTTATGCCTGGTCCCTCTAATTCTTAGCTTTTATTCTCATTCTTCTGGTTCTTCAGCTGTACAAAGTACAGAGAGAAGCTAGGCTTAGAAGATCCCATGTTGTCATGATTCCCACTTAAGGAAACTTCTCAGCAGTAAAGAACAAAGCAGAGATGTACACTGTATGGATGGATTTCAAAAGGCATGAGAGACAAAAGAGGACCCAACAGACTATCTACTTTTTCATTTTACTTACACAAATTCTTAGGCCAGGAGTAACTAACCTATAGTGGCAAAAAGATGAGCGGGCCCATGTGGTGGAAAGAATTGAACAGAAACAGGCTCAAAAATTATTGGCATGATGGAGATGTCCCTTGTATAATATTAACTGGATGGTAGTTCCCTGGGTATAAACTCATCAAAACACAAACCTGTGTATCCAAAATCTGTATATTTTATTACATAAATTATACCTCAATTTCATATATGTGTGTGTGTGTGTGTGTGTATGAAAAAATTCCATCCCTAGTTGATTAAAGCAGAACAACTAAAAAAATCCACAGAGAATTGAAAATGTGAATTCCTAGCTTCTGAGGCATTTTTATAAGCCACCTAGTCCGTGACATTTTGACATACCTTTTTTTCTCTTTAAAGAGATCAGAAAGTATATTATCATAATGAAGAGAGACACATAAAGCTATTGAAATGGCTAACAGCAATGTCAGTACAAAGGACTAGCTATTATAATGTTTTATGCTAAATTATTTTTCTTTGTGGTAGGGTATATTACTGTGAGCACATAAAATTAGAGAAATCCACAGACAATAGACTACACTGTACAGGGCACAGTGCTATGAGCTCGATTCCATATAAATTGGTAAGTACTTTGAGAGTTATAAAAATATATTCCCATCATAGAAATAATAAATTAGGGGCCAGCAGGTGGCGTAATGGTTAAGGCTCTGGATTCCCATATGGCTGACCGCTGTTGGAGACCGGATCCAGGAGCTTGAAAATCACACCGGGCACGTGTGTGAGCACACCCCAAATCCCAGGAGTGGAATGGAAGAGAAGGGATTGCAGCATCGCCGTCCTGGGGCGCGGGGGGTTGGGGGTGATTTCTCACTTTCCCTCTTACTGTCTCTCTCTGGCGAGTACACACATCCTATAGCAAAAACCTTAAAAAAAAAAAGAAATGATAAAGTAAATATTATTTTGCTGTGATTTGTCAAAGTTATTTGAAAGCTCAGTAAAAACATTTAAATGCATCTTACTGAATAGCTGCAATATTCTTCATCTGCTGCCAGACACTGGTAGAAAACGAAAGTGGCAGATTATTTGGTTCTTGTTGCTTTTAGGAGTAGTAAAACACAAATACCTGAACCATGGGCCACTGGTAATCATGAAATGGGACACCAGAGTGTGAGAAGGGAGAGACAGTCTTTGGGAAAGAACTGTGGAAGAGGTGGGCCTTGAACTCAATGTTAAAAGGACACGAGAACTAGGGACTTCAGAGAGGAAGAGGGAGAAGAGCATTTGGAGGAGGAAAAGCATAGGTTCTCCTCTCACCAAGGTGTACAGAGAGGCTCTGAGCCACACCTGTGTGTTTGAGTTCTTTATTTTCCCCTAAAACTTATTTTATTTATTATTATTATGATTTAATTTGCTATAGGGAGTCAGAAGGACTCTCTGAGATACACACATTCAGGGAAATAACTCCCATTCTCCCTCCTAGTCCAGAACAACTCCCACTCTCCCTCCTGGTCCAATGGCACCTTGTTCTAAACTTACACCACAATGCATAAGTCATTCTTTCATGACGTTTTTATATATTCTCTTTTATCATCTCTCAAGATTTCTGCAGCAGGAGGAAGCCTTTAGCTACTGGAATGACCTTGAAACGCTTCCTCCAACCAACACTTGGGCCTGAGCAGGTGCAGTTCGGACTGACCTCACGGGGCTTTGAACATTTATAGGCAACAGGCTGCACTTCCGTTGTCCCAGCCTGTGCACACACACTAAATCAAAATTAAATGTTAATGATTGTGGTGTCTGTGCCACTCTGCTGGGGAAACTAAAATGCTGGGAAATGAGGCTCTAACAGCTG